CTCCGTTGCTCCGTCCAGATGAAACGTCTCCGCTATGAAGCGCTGGAAGCCGTTGATCTGCTCAAACTGCATGAATCAAAGGAGTAGATGATAAAGGACTGCATATCAATAACCAGGAATGGAAAACAAGCGACGGAACATGCACTTATATTAAGCACCTCAAGGTGTTGACATTTCTTCTATCAAGCAAGGCAGGCAGGCGTGTACTAACCTGTTCCTTGCCACCCGCCTCGAAGGCAATGCGGCAGAGCAGCAGGATGTCCACCTTGTGGCCCACCACCTGCAGCTTGCCGGCGGCTTTTGAGGCGACTCAAAAACCATCTCAAGCAGGCAGGCACGCACACACAGACTAACCTGCTCCTTGCCGCCGGCCTCGAATGCGATGCGGCAGAGCAGCGGGATGTCCACCTTGTGGCCCACCACCTGCGGCTTGCCGGTGGGCACGGGCTTGTTGTTGGTGCGCAGGTACTCGTACACCGCCCGCGTGGAGAACTTGGCGTCCGGCCCTATGGGATCCGTGAATGTGTCTGCTGTAAGGGGGGGCACGGGGACAGGGTAACCGGGGTTGATAGAAAGCAGTATCAGGCCATTTCTCAACATGACTGCAAGGCATGGCCCATGTGAGTGGCATGTGTGAAAAGGTGGCATGGAGACACAGGTGACGCCTCGGCCAGCAGTAGTAGTACACAAAGACATGGTCGCAACCAGGCGACTGACCTTGCACGCGTTTGGGTGTCGTGCCGACTTCAATGCCCATGGGCTCGGAGAGCTGGCGCTCGGACCAGCCGGGCTCGTAGGCCTCGAGGAAGGCCTGCTTGGCGCGGTTGGGCAGGTCGTGTGGGTGCACAAAGGGCACGTTGGCTGGCCACCCCAGCTGCAGGCGCAGGTACGAGCAGGGCGGCTCCTCCATCGCCATGTGCTGCTCCTCACACTCCTTGAGGTTGCAGAAGCGGATCTTGATGCCCTTGGCGTCGGCGAGGTCCTGCACCTTCTCCTTGAGCACGCGCTGCGCCTCCATGCGCAGCCGCTTCGACGGCGCCAGCGACCGCCCGTCGCTGCCCATCATGCGGTGCTTCTTGCGCCGCCGCACGGTCGGTGACCCTGCACGTGCCACACACACACACGGCACCAGTCAGACAGGCTCTTTCTGAGATGTAATGCATGGCAAGACGCCCATGAGCTTGGGGCGGAGCGGCCCATTGTACCCTTCCAGGGCTTTAGGGATATAAAGGAATCGGATATTAATGCCCATTGTCATCTGGACTAATCCCACACCCTGCTGCCTCCAGCGCGCACCTGGTTCGGCCATGGGCATGGCGGCGCCCATGCCCATGGGGCGCAGCAGTCCGTTGTACGAGGCAGCGGCGATCTGATCAATGGGGTGCTGCCGCAGCATGAAGTCCTTTTGAGTCGACTCAAACGACAGCGCGCACCTGGTTCGACCATGGGCATGGCGGCGCCCATGCCCATGGGGCGCAGCAGTCCATTATATGACGCAGCGGCGATCTGGTCAATGGGGTGCTGCCGCAGCATGAAGTCCTGCACCGCCACCGGCTGCTGGAACGGCCCCGCGATCGCGTGCCCCGACGCCGCCATGGCGGAGCAGTGGATGATGGACGACGCGCGCGGCAGCAGGCGGAAGAACACGGACGCGCGCCCCTCGGGCACCTGCATGCCCACCGACGCGCTCGCCAGGTCCGTCTTGTACAGCGCGGGGCTCACGTAGCCGCCTGTGGCCTGCCGCGCGGAAGCCATGGGGATCGCCGGGCGGAGGACGAGATAAGGGCAACGCACGCCACCCACACGCAATACGCAATACTTGCTACGGACAGAAACGACGAGAACGTGAAAGGGTTGACCAATGGATCATAATATCCAGGGTTGGAAAGTACCTGATATAGAGTTAATCCGGTAATGAGTATAAGATCGTTGGGTCCGAGGTTGGCGTCTGCTAGGAGCCATTGGTTCTGCGGGTCGCGAATGTACAGCCCAGGGCGGTCGGACTTGACCAGCGTCACCAGCCCCTTCTCCGCTCGCGCCTCAGCATCCTCCGGAGGGATGAGGAGCGGATCCTTGTCGTCCATTCCTGGATCCATCATCGTCTCGCTGCCCATCCAACGGTCACCATGTCAGAATGGATTGAGAGAGAAGGCACGTGCGCAGGCATTGACGACAACAACGGCGAGGAAAACGGAGTGTGGATGAAACATTGCGGGGGGAATGATGGGAGAGGGGGGGAGAGAGAGGGTTGGGGAGGGTAGGAGGGGCAGGGGGACAATTGATCAATTATCTGGATACTTACTTGGCAAAGCGGCGCCCATGGCAGGTGACGGAGAGCACGGATGAGGAGATTTCGTTGGCCTTGAGAGGAACGTTGTCGAGGAGGTCCGTGAATGTGTACGAGCGCAGGTCCAACGACCTGCCTATCGCCTCCAACACCGTCCTCGACGTTTTCCCCATGCTCCCAAACGCGTCTGTTGCACACCATCGAACGGGAAAGGACATTGCAAAACCACGCACACGCACACACACACACACAAAAGAACAAAACGAATGGAAGTCAGACGAGGGTCGACGCACCACTTCGTCAGACGCAGAAACACGGCGAGCAAGCAACGGACCTGGAAGACATGAGGGAGGGATGGAATCCTCCGGAACAGCGCTGATTGGTGTTGCGCCTGGTCGGAACTCGTACACTTCCTTCCCCACATGCGGCTCGCAGTAGTAGCCTGCGGTTCGGTTCCACTCCTGGGGGTCGTCCGCGCTCGGAATGGACTGCATTGCCGGGGACGGTCGCCGCTTAAACTGCACCGACAGGACAATTGTCAGATAGGCTCGTGCAGGAAAGCCGTGCTAAAACGGAAAGCCCGTGGAGACAGCTTACCTGGAAATAAACGCGCGAGGAGTCTAGCGTGTATCGGACCAGAGCTTCATCACCAGGTGGCATCTGAATGATCGCTGGATAACAATTATAAACGTTGCGTTCTGTCAGTTAGACTGCGGCGCTTCGAGCTACGATACATACGCGACGGCAACGTTGAGCACTTACCGTAGTTGAATCGAGCTAGCGAGCTCATAAGAGTGCCTAGGGCCATGCGATAAGTCTCATGCGGTAGGCCATCACGAGGAATTAAGTCGACTGCTCTAACCGAAACTGGGTTGCCTGCAGACATGATCATGTGCGGCGGCGGCATGGCGGGAAAGGCTATCATCTTCGCCCGCTCGTCCTCGTACGCCATTCCCGGCATTTGCATCATCTTGGCGAAATTGCACTACTATTTAGCGGCGGTGATGGATTCGATACTCCGCGAAAGAAAACTTGAAATAGCTTGTTCTCGAACGAGGACCTGAAGACACGTGTGAAAAGAGGAGCCATAGTCGTCAAGTTTAAACTGCGGAATAAGCGCCTAAAATGGTATGCAAAATCTAAAAGCTTGGTACAAGAGCAAGCTGAACATATGTTTGCGTTTGCCTAATGCATTCCTACCTTTCTATGTGGAAAGGGAGTGTTGTAATTATTTTTTTCCCAGCTCGGAAGGTGGCGGCTGAAACTTTCGAAAAGCTTGACGAAAACGAAGAGAAACAAATCTTGGAAGGACAAGAAAGTGAAAGCCAGGGCTCCAGAAAAAAATAGTGCACGGCGGCAGTGGCAGAGGAGAAGAAAGTTTGAGCCAGCAGGAGGAAGCGAACGTGGGAGGCTAGGGTTTCAAGACCCAACGAGGAGGAAAGATCGAGACAATTTTTAACCGTCCAATCTCTTCTTCAAAATTTTTCAGCCGTCAGATGCAGCCGCATGTCGCCGTCTTGTGGGATTCAGCAAACCTGGAGCTGCCCTCAAGCTCCAATCGACTACCTTCCGCACAGCACACAAACTCCTCGCTCGGAAAATCAACAAGTCAATGAACATATTTTCCGTCCGATAAATCGAATCGGACGGCTGTGCGCTCGTCACTCGCTTGGAACAAGGTTGTTGGGCAGGAGCGAGGATCAGCTGAACATACTTCGCATGGCCGAGAAAAAAACTTATACTCAATACAGATCACAAACATTTTTACTGCTGTTCGGAGCGGGAAGACTGAGAGATTACACTACGAAGAATGTCTAATACACGGATTTTGAACCAGGGTTCATTCACCAAGTAGCAAAAAAAAATTAACAATTAAGCACAATTTAGCACGTGTCCTATCTCAAACGCCAGAAAGATTTTATTTATAATGATAGATGGGCTTAATTATGCTTTGGGCCAAATAACCAGAGTCCCTATGGGTTTTATCCATCTCAAATATTGAAGGTCTAAAAGCCGATAATCCCTGTAAAGTGCCTGATGAAGATGCAGTATTGTAGCTGGTTTAAAGCCCGAGTACAGCATGGCATTTTTCAAGTTCAATATTCTTGAACTTGAAGTCGCAAAAAAACAGGGTTACCCTCTTTTGTTTGGAAGAACTCTCGCGACCCAGGGAAAACTCATTGCGACTGTCACTCCTGATTGGTTTCTGTGCCCAGTCGCACAACATATCCGAACATCGCCCACCAAATTGCCGTGGACACCTCTCACATAACTTGACAACCAAGTAGTACTCCTAATTCACTAGAGTAGGCACGTAACTAAGAAACGCGCGACAGGGCGATACAAGCTAGTTTAGGTAAAAGCGTTTCTTTCCTTCCAGCTCTCGTCACACCTTTCAGAAGAACTAGGCAAGAATGATGCATTGAATGGAAGAATTGGGTACAAGTAGCAAACCCTAGTTGGGGTTGTACCCTATATTGGCTACCCCACTACAGCCTACCAACATAATACAGTTTAACACACCCCCATAGGCAAAGTGGGGGAGAACAAAGGGTCACAAGACCAGTCCAGCAAAGCAAAGCAAAGCCCAGGGTGGATCACAACGTCACCACACTCCGAGCACAAGCAAAGGCCACAAGGCCAGTTCACATGCAGTGCTAGATATAGAACAGGACAAGCAGCAAGATATATATAAAGTACAGTACAAAGAAAGTCAAGCAGTAAGCAAATGAGGAAACGTGGACACAAGGCCTAAAGAAGTACAGTGCCGCTGATGATCACTAGGCGGGAGCGCCTTGGTGAAGATATCAGCAGTATTGGCCTTCGAGTCCACGTACACAAGCCGAAGCTGACCGCGCTGCTGAAGCTCTCGAGCAAGAAAGTAGCGAAGAGCAATGTGCTTCGTCCTGTGCTCCAGTCTGTGCTCCTGACACAAGGCAAGGGCCGCCTTGTTGTCACCGTACAGAACTGGAGGAGAACTAGGCCGCTCTCCCAAGTCAGTCAGCAGGTAGGTGAGCCAGCGTAACTCCTGTGCAGCCATGGCTGTGGCGTAGATCTCAGCCTCACAACTAGAGCCGAGAACAGAAGAAGAGCGGGTGGACCGCCACGAGACAGAACCAGAGCCAAGGCTGAAGGTGTAACCCTGTGACGACCGCTGCGTAGCCAGGTCGTCCACCCAAGAAGCGTCCGAGTGACCAGTGAGGACAACTCTGTCGCGTCCTCCAAGCACCAGCCCCATGCCTGATGTACTGCACAAGTAACGCAGCACCCTCTTAGCAGCCTCCCAGTGCTCTCGCCTGTGTCTCCCAGGCGCAACGTAACGAGCAAGGATGCTAAGTGGGTACGCGAGGTCAGGTCGCGTGCAAGTCATCAGGTACATGAGGCAGCCTACAAGCTCTGGGTACGGGCCACTCGGCTCTACGGACTCGTCCAAAGGTGGAGCTGAGAGCGAGTGGCTGGTAGCCAGAGGTGTGGCCTGTGGTGAGGAGAACTGGAAGCCGAAGCGCTGAAGGACCTGCTGCACCATGTGTGACTGAGTCAGGGTGATGGTGCGGCAAGCTCTGTCCCGGGTGATCTGCAAGCCAAGGTAGCTACGCAGTTCACCCAGGTCAGTGCAGGTGTGTCTCTTCTGCAGCTCCGACTTCACACGAGCGAGTGCCTCAGTGTCAGCAGTAGCAAAGACCAAGTCGTCGACGTACACGAGAATGTAGAACGGCGGTAGCGACGTGTCTGTGCGTAGAAACAGCGACGGGTCAGCAGTAGACGGCGCGAACCCAAGAGCTGCAAGTGTAGTCCTCAGTGTGTCGTGCCACTCACGTGGCGCCTGGCGGAGACCGTAGACTGGCCGGCGGAGGCTCCACTGGGTACCAGGAGGAAACGACCCAGTGAAGCCAGGTGGGCGGCGCAGCCAGATCTCCTCGTGCAGGCTGCCCTGCAGGAACGCTGTGCTGAAGTCAAGAGAGTGAAGCTCGTAGTCACGCTGAGCAGCAACGTGTAGCAGAACCCGAAGAGTGGTCATCTTCGGGGTGGGGGAGAAGGTCTGGAAGAAGTCAACCCCCTGGCGCTGACTGAAGCCTCTAGCAACGTAACGAGCCTTGAAGACAGGTGGAGAACCTGGCGGCCGCTTCACCCTGAAAATCCACATGCCATCGACGATGTTCGCCCCAGGAGGGGGAACCTCGTCGACGTAGGTGCCTGTGGACTTCGAGGATGCCATCTCTGCGTCCATGGCTGACTGCCACTGAGAGGAGTAGGGACCCGAGATCGCCTCTGCGTAAGAGCGCGGAGTGGGGATGTCTAGTGCATCCGGGTCTCCCTCAGGGGCAAGCAACCAGGCCACGAGATGAGGTACAGCAGCCGCAAGAGAGTCAAAGTCCTCCTGCATGTCCTCAAGGACGTCCGTGCCAAGAGCACACTCACCCCCGACGGACGGAGGACAGACAGACTCAGACTCAGTAACAAGACTGGCGGCGTAGTCTAGACGACAGGCAGCAGCAAAGTCGACAAGCTCAGCGACCAGGGCAGACGCAGCAGCAGACTCAAACGACGGGTCAGTGACAACAGTGGCGAGAAGACGCGTAACAGTAGGGTGGGCAGCACGAACACTGTCAGACTCAGGGTCGGGAACGTCAGGAAGAGAAGACGCAGGAGGAGACGGTAGGGGGACACGCTGTGGACCAGTGGAAGGACGAAGGGCCATAATATGCGTGCCAGGAACAGGAGGAGGACGCGGACGCGCGACACGACGACCAGTGGGACCAGTGCGCGCAGTGCGAGCAGCGCGAGCAGCGCGAACAGGCGAGGTAGGACGAGACGCAGGCTCACGACGCTCCGTAAGCGAGTCCGGCTGCGCAGTGTAAGGCACAGGAGCAGGGAGGGGGGAGCCAGGCTGAAGGGGAAGGCCAGTGGAAGACGGGAGGGAAAGAACCTGGCGAAGCACCGTGTCAGGCGGCGGCAAAGCCGACGGCGACGGAGGAGCGAAGAACAGGCGCGACGGCGGAGCTCCGCCAGCACCTCCAGCACCCGGAGCACCAGAAGCACCTGGACCAGCACCCTCCGCCGCAGCACCCCCCGAGTCGGCGACGTCAGCACCAGAGGCCCCAGCAGCGTCAGACCTCCCCTCGCCAGCACCTCCAGAACCAGCAGGACCACCGTGTCCAGAACCGTCAGCTCCAGTGTCGTCAGCTCCAGCAGCTCCAGTACCGTCAGGAAGAGCACCCCCAGACGCAGCAACCCCAGGCTCCGTAGGCTCAGCAGCAGCACCCCCAGGCCCAGTACCCTCAGGCGCAGTACCCCCAGGCTCAGCACCCCCAGACTCCGTACACGCAGGCTCAGCACCCCCAGTCGTAGCACCCCCAGGCTCAGCACCCCCAGGCGCCGAACTCCCAGGCACAGTACCCTCAGCTCCAGCACCCGCAGTCCCAGCACTCCCAGGCCCAGCACCCGCAGGCTCAGCACCCCCAGGCTCAGCACTCCCAGCAGCACCACCTGCAGCAGCACCTGAGTCACCTGTGACCTCGACAGGCTCAGTGACGGGAGGAGGGTCTACCTGAGAGACACCTGAAGGAGCAGGACCCTGAGGGGGAAGGGGGTCTACCGGAGGGGGACCAGGAGCAAGGAAAAGCGGCGGGGGAGGGAGGGGGGCAGTGCGGTAGGGGAAGAGACGGTAAAAAGGGACCGACTCGTCAAAGGTGACGTCCTGAGAGGCGAAGACCCGGCGCGAGGTGGGGTGGTAAAACTGCCAGCCCGGCGCGTCAGGGACAAAGCCAAGGAAGACACAGGGAAGCGTGCGGGAGGAGAGCTTGTCCGCGGACGTATCGCGGACAAGGGCACGAGCACCCTACACCCGGAAGCGCGACGCATCGCCAACCTCCCCCGTCCAACGCAGTGTGGGCGAGGTCTCCGGCAAGGAGACACGGGGCCAGAGGTTGAGCTGATGCGCGGCGTACCGGACAGCAAACGGCCACAGAAAATGGGGAGCCGCCGCGTGGACCAAGGAGGTACGAGCGACCTCCATGACCAGGCCAATGCGGCGTTCAGCAACCCCATTCTGCTGTGGGGAGTCCGGAAGCGTGAAGGTCTGCTCGATGCCCTCCGCCTGACAGAAGGTCCTCAAGAGATCGGAGGAAAACTCACCACCTCTGTCAGAGTGCAGACGCAGGACAGGAAGATCCGTCCGGAAACGGCGGCGGAGCTGGAGACGAACTGTGCGGATCCAAGGGATCAGAACAGCAGGGACCTCACCCTTGGTGCGCAAGGGGAAGACCGTGGTGTAACGCGAGTAGTCGTCGACAACCAGCAAAAAGTACCGCTCACCGCCCTGGCCACGAACGCGGGCTGGGCCCCACACGTCCAGGTGGAGGGTCTGCAGAGGAGCCTCTGTCGGGGGGAACGAGGAGGAGTGAGGAGCGGCGCGCTGCCGCCCCTCGACGCAAGGAAGGCAAGGCGGCGCAGGCGAGGCAGGGAGGGGAGGGAGAGACCTGGGAAGACCAGACACAAGGCGGTGACGGTGCATGCCACGGAGGCGTGGCAAGGAGGGGTGACCCAGGCGGTGGTGCCAGAGAAGAGTCTGGTGTGACAGGGAACGACACTCACAGGCGTGGGCCACCAGACCTGACGCGGACACCTGACCGACAGCAGCGACCTGAGGAGACGCAGTGGTCAGTGTGTAGAGACTCGACCCCGGCCGACGGGTAAACGTAGCCAGGTGACGGCCGGTCCTGGAGCACGTGCAGATCGCCACACGCTGTCCTCCAGGGGTAAAGGTGTCAACCCACTGATCCTGGATGACAGCGTTGCTCACCAGGTTCGTCGAGAACGAGGGGAGGTGGAAACCCGACAACGAGCCAGACGGAACCGCCGGACAAGGGAGCACAGTGGTGGACTGGGCAAGGACTGGGCCCCCAGAGGGGTCAGCCAAGGAGACTGGGACCGGTGCAGGAAGCGGTGTGAGCTCAGTACTGTCACGAAAGAAACAGCGGGAAGCACCTGAGTCAAGGGTGAAGGTGTGACAGGCCTCAGCCGGTGCGGTACCTGAGAGAGCAGTCTCTGTGGGTGCTGTACCTGAGAGAGCAGACTCGCAAACAGCCGGGACAGTACTGGAGGGAGCAAGTACAGGGGGCACCATACCGGAGAGAGCAGACTCACTAGTACCCAGGGCAGCGGGCTCTATACCTGGGTCAGGCGGCACACACAAGTAACAGTCTCCCTCGGCACTAACAGTCAATGCATACATGGCAGCAATAATAGCATCATAGTCAAGAGCAAAGATATCAACACCAGCCCTCATGAGCTCAGCCCAGCGGGGGCGCTCAACATCCTCGCCCATCTCCTCACGCCAAGCGTCGTCAAGGCGGGAGAAGCAGCGGTACGGGGTGTGGAACCTCCCACACGTCTGTCCCTTGCGGTCACCTGTGCGAATGACATAGGAACAGCGGCCATTGCCCCCCGACGTCCCACGCTGAGCAAGCCACTCACGAAGCTGCTGGGTCGTCTGGGGACGCTGCTGCTGCTGGGAGCTCTGGCCCGAGCCAGTGCCTCCACTCCGACCTCCGCCACCACCACTACCTCCGCTCCGACCGCCACCGCCGCCGCCGCCACCGCCGCCGCCGCCACCACCGCCACCGCTCCCTCCGCCGCCCCCGCCTCCGCTGCCGACCCCACTCCCACCAGCACTCCCGCCACCGCTCCCTCCAGCACCGCCTCCCCCCCCACCTCCCCCACCTCCTCCCCCCCCAGCGCCACCCCCGCCACCCTTGCCCCCCTTGCCCTTGCCGGTGCGGCGCCTCCCACCAGGAGCAGAAGCAGCGCCAGCAGACTCAGCACCAAGGAAGTCAACAGCAGCAGCAGTAGCGTAGGAGGGAGCGAGGGGAGAGGGAGAACACCCCTCAAAGATGGGGGTGCGAGGAGCGCCACGAGCAGCACCGACAGCTACAATGCTCTTTTCGGCCGCTAGCAGCTGCTCCTCTAGGAGGGCGACTGTGAGCTCAGTGGGACAGCGAGCAAGGAAGTGGTCTCGAACTGAGCTGAGGGTGTCAGGGAGTCGGGTGACTATGAAGTGGAGTGTCCAGTACAGTGGAGGGGGATTCTTAGCGCAGAACTCGGTGGGAAGGGCGGCACGCAGGCGAGCATCACTAGTGCGAAGGTGAGTGATAAGATCGGCGACTGTAGCAAAGGTGGACAGCTCAGGGAACAGGTACGGCAGCATGAGGCGGCTAAGCTCGGCTGTGGCAGGCGAGGAGTAGCGAGCAACGACAGCATCGTACAGGGCCTTAGCGGATTTGCAGTCGCCAAAATGCTCGAGCTCAGCTAGCGGGAGGTGACTGCGAATGGCTAGGCGAGCAGCTGCGTCACGAGTCTGCCAGTGGGAACGAACACTAAGCTCAGCTGTGGCAGGAGGGGCAGGTGCAGCACCAGACGCGTAATCATAGAGCGACACATGCTCCTTGCTATCGCTCAGAAGGAACAGCTGCAGGTCATCCAGCCAAGTGGCGAACTTCACAGGGCGGCCCTCAGCATCGAACGACAGCACGCGGATGGAAGCCATAGTGACAGTGCGACTGAGCAAGGAAGCTGCCGCAGCGCTGCAGGTAGGTAGCTCGGCGGGAAGCGCGGCGGGCGGGCGACTCGGCGAGCGGGCAGTGCGGGGGGCGGGCTACGAAGCGGGCAGCGCGGCGGGCAGGCGGCGCTGCAGGCGGGAAGTGCGGCGGGCGGGCTGCGAAGCGGGCAGCGGGGCGGGCGGGCGACGCGGCGAGCGGGCAGCGCGGCGGGCGGGCTGCGAAGCGGGCAGCGGGCGGGCGGGCGACGCTGCAAGCGGGCAGCGGGCGGGCGGGCGACGCTGCAAGCGGGCAGCGCGGCGGGCGGGCTGCGAAGCGGGCAGCGGGCGGGCGGGCGACGCTGCAAGCGGGCAGCGGGCGGGCGGGCGAGGCTGCTAGCGGGCAGCGCCGCGGGCGGGCTGCGAAGCGGGCAGCGGGCGGGCGGGCGACGCTGCAAGCTGGCAGCAAGGCGGGCGGGCGACGCTGCGAGCGGGCAGCGCGGCGGGCGGGCGACGCTGCGAAGCGGGCAGCGGGCGGGCGGGCGACGCTGCGAGCGGGCGGCTCGGCGGGCGGGCGACGCTGCGAGGGGCGCGCGAGGGCGCTAACGAGAGGCGCACGAGGGCGCTAACAAGGGCGCGCGAGGGCGCTAGCGAGGGCGCGCGAGGGCGCTAACGAGAGGCGCACGAGGGCGCTAACGAGGGCGCGCGAGGGCACTAACGAGGGCGCACGAGGGCACTAACGAGGGCGCACGAGGGCGCTAACGAGGGCGCACGAGGGCGCTACGAGGCTAGGGCACGGGGTAGCGTGGTAACCGCATGCGAGCGGTGGTGGGCCCTTAAAAAAACGGTCGGTAGGTCCTAGGGACCTCCTGCTCTGAATACCATTTCAGAAGAACTAGGCAAGAATGATGCATTGAATGGAAGAATTGGGTACAAGTAGCAAACCCTAGTTGGGGTTGTACCCCATATTGGCTACCCCACTACAGCCTACCAACATAATACAGTTTAACAACACCCGCTGTCTTGCCAATAGCTGAGCAGCACACGCTTCTTGCCGAACACGCTATCACCGTTCCATTTTCGCATGCCAGCCACGGGACCCCCGTTTTAGCGCACCACAGTCATGGGTCGGCAAAGGCTGCTGGCCGCCTCCAACACAACCCCCGCCAGGCATTGGCCAGCATAGCATGGCCCGCCCAACAAACCCTTTGCTTCGATCCGCCTTCAGGCGTCATCCTCGCCTCGTCTAGACACCCACACTTAGTTTGTGGCGAGTGCATCACCTCATCGCCCGCGCTTCCCTAGCGATTCGCACGTCAGTGCGTTACGAGCGCTGCTGCACTCGCGCATGCCCTCATCGCCCGCGCGTCCCCTCGTCGCGCAATGTCTCCCTCGTCGTAAGCGTTTCCCCTAGTCACGCGAGCTTCTCCCACGCTCACCCGCGCTTTCCACGCTTACCCGCGTTTCCCGCGCTCTCCAGCGTCACCCGCGCTTACCCTCGTCACCCGCGCTTATGATCGTCACCCGCGCTTACCCGCGTCATCCCCACTTACCCGCGTTTCCTGCGCGTACCCGCGTTTCCCGCATATACCCAAGGTCACCCGCGCTTACCCATCACCGCTTGCCCGCGCCTCGCGCTCTTTCCCGCGTGTGAAACGCGGGACCCGAATCTCCCGCACTTCCCCTCGTCTCTTGCGGTGGGAAGTTGATATGAGGTTCTCTTGATACGAGGATAGGAATACGCTCTTACAATGCGTTATCTACAGGTGTTAGGTTTGCAAATTAACAATGTTATCTACGTTATCAAAGCTATTGAATGTGCTGGAAATCTTGAATGAACTGTTGTAATATTCTATCAAATCGTTTGATTGATACACTAATGCCACACACAAGCCGGTACAACTGTATACTGGTATTTGGTTCCACCAAGGTGCAAAGAGCCCCACTCAAGAACAAGAGGGCTGGATGTCCATTGTGGTGCTGTCTGAGGAAAAAAAAACAGAAAGGAGAGGAGGAACAGAGGGTAAGCTGGAGGGTTAGGAAGGGTGAGCAGGGGGGAGGAAGGCTAGCACGGAGTAAAGGAAGGGTAAGCAAGGGGGGACCATAATAAACAGCAGGGGGGAAATGAGGGGACGCAGGGGGGGAAATGAGGGGAAGCAGGGGCAGAAATGAGGGGAAGCAAGGGAGGAAAGGCAGGACAGAGAGGAAGGGAGGAAGTGCGGAAGAGAGGAAGGGAGCAAGGGAGGAGATAGGACAAGGGAGGGAACCAGGGACTAGCAGGGAGGGAATAGGGGGCTAACAGGGGTGAAGCAAGGGGCTAGCGGGGGGGTGGACAAGAGTATAGCAGGGGGAAAAGTAGGAAGAGATCAGAAGAGGGCGAAGAGGAGAAAGAGGGGATAGGAAGAGGGAGAGGAGGAGAAGGAGGAGATAGGAAGTGGGGGAGGAGGAGAAAAAGGGAGAGAAGGATTTGGGGGGATAGGGAAGATGGGAGAGGGAAGGGAGGAGATTGGATGAGGGGGTAGAGAGAGATGAGGAGAATGGAGGAGGGAGGAGAGGGAAAGGAGTAGATTGGACGAGGGAGGAGAGGGAATGATGGAGATTGGAAGAGGGAGGAGAGGGAATGGAGGAGATTGGAAGAGGGAGGAGGGGTAAGGGAGGGGCGTAAGGGGGTGGAGAGGAACAGGGCAAGCAGCGGGGAAAAATGAAGGAAATGAGAGGGAGAAATTAGGGAAGGAGAGGGCTGGAAAGGGGGGAAGCAGGGGCGGAAAGGAGGGTAAGAAGGGGCGGAAAGGAGGGGAAGAAGGGGCGGAAAGGAGGGGAAGCAGGGGGGGTAAGGAGGGGAAGTAGGGGGGGAAAGGAGGAGAAGCAAGGGGGGAAAGGAGGGGGAGCAGGGGGGGAAAGGAGGAGAAGTAAGGGGAGAATGGAGAGGAAGTAAGTGGGGAAAGGAGGGGAAGCAAGGGGGGGAAAGGAGGGGAAGCAGGGGGGAAAAGGAGGAGAAATAAGGGGGTCAAGGAGGGGAAGTAAGGGGGGAAAGGAGGGGAAGCAAGGTGGGAAAGGAGGGGGAGCAGGGGGGAAAAGGAGGGGAAGAGGGGGCGAAAGGAGGGGAAGCAGGGAGGTAAAGGAGGGGAAGCAACGGGGGAAAGGAGGGGAAGCAAGGGGGGAAAGGAGAGGAATCAGGGGAATCCGCGCCTCATCCCCTTTCGCGCCTCATCCCCTTCCGCGCCTCAACCCCGCCTCATCCCCTTCCGCGCCTCATCCTCTTCCGCGCCTCAACCCCGCCTCATCCACTTCCGCGCCTCATCCCCTTCCTTGCAACCCAGGAGCGCGCGCTGCGCGTCGCCCGGAGCACGCGCTGCTCGTCGCCTGGTACGCGCGCTGCGCGTTGCCCGGAGCGCGCGCTGCGAGTCGCAGGGAGCGCGTGCTGCTAGACGCCCGGAGCGGACGCTGCTCGTCGTTGTGGTTGCGCGTGCTGAGCGTAGCGAGATGCGCGCAACTATACCCTCGACCGGTGCGCGGTCCGCTCCTTTGCCCGGTGAGCGCTCTGGTCCCGCTCGAAGGGACCCTACAGCGTGGGCTCTCTTCTATCTGCAGGGTTCTAGAATGTCGTCACGCCCGTACTACAGCTACCATTCCTTGGGGTGACTAGTTCTTACGGTCTTACGGTAGTCTACAGAATGACAATTTCCGTCTCCAACACGTCCTTAGCACGTTCGTCGCTCTGTTTTTCTATATTCCGTTAGCATCGAGATGAATCAGCGGGGACGCAACGTGCAGTGCAGGCAGACTTCGCTGGTCGGAAGCGTGGCCATTTGTGTGAAACCTCCTTCATGCGACACACTTTTCGCATTGGGTTGGTGGGAATCGCAGATTGGGTGTGCACGAAATGTTCACTTGCTCGTGGAGGACTTTTGATCTCGCCAAAGCCACACAGCCGAAATAGGTTTCGGAAACCTTCGTTTTGTACTATTTCAACCCCACATAACTTGAAAATTTACCATGCTGACCCCGGGCTTTAAAGGTTGAAGGCTTTGTTTCTCCATGTAAGTCAGTATAACAGAAGCAAAATACAAAGGCGCTTGCCAAATGAGGAGCCATTTTTTTTATATTGTGCTTGGAGAATGGGCATGTATGTACGGTAGTTTGACATCAACGCTTTTGAGTTTGCCTTAGTGGCAGGTGGCCTTCAGTATCATCTGTCAGAGCTCATACTCCCACAGCTACGACCAGAGCTCGTTTTATTCTTGATGTGACCACGCAGGGAAGGGGTGCTGCTTCGCCAAATCATTCCGCTACCTGCGAGTCCTAGTATAGTATGCTCCATTAAGAGTCACGACATATGCCGCAGTATCTGGGACTTTTGACGCGTGCAGTAGCCAGGAGCCGAGAATGCTTTTTTTTCCTCGTAATCTTCGTGTGTCACCACGCAATGCATATTTTTTCGAAATGGCCAATATCGTGGCAAGTCTGCCAATTGTTGTGCATGGCGAACGACAGCGGGTTACCACCAAAGAATCTCGTGACAATGGAGATGCACGTGTCTTCGGCTTGGGGTGTGTATGCAAGCTTGCACTCCCCGGGAGTAGGTGTCCAATGCCCTGCGCAGAACGGACGACATCAGAGAGGAAAAGCAGGACCAACGGAGAAGCAGATACCGCGCGTCAGATATTCTCGCAGGTAACCATCAAACCGGGTTTGGAGACGGTGGACGAAAGATTTGAAAGAACTAACTTCGAAACAACTTCTGATAGTGGAATAGTCGGAATTCACAGGGGTGGCGATGGGAGCTGCAAGGCTAGCGTACCTCTAATGACATTTTGCGATAAAGAAGACGCGGAGTGGATGGATAGCGCAAGAGTTACTAATACGAGTGCTAAGAACCATGAACGAAGGGAAGCCGTCATGGAACTGGAACTGGAAGCGGAGCAGGGCAGCTTATGGGCAGAGCTATGGCAGTGAGCGATCCCTCCGACGCGGTGTCACACAATCACGTATGCGACATCTTAGTAGCAATGCCCCTTTTATTCTCATCGTATTCTGCGTCGGTCGGTTGAACCTCAAGCTCACAAGATGTGCAACTAAGACCTGGATTCGCATGTGGCTTGCGAGTGGGCGCTTGGGTTTACAGAACAGCACTCCCCTCCCCTCACCTCCAACATGTTTGTTTTCGACTCACTTTACCACGATCTTGCCTGGTGCGTCACGGTTCAAAACGGTAACGAGAAACACCCAGCTGTACCGTACGGTGCGAACGATCTCGTGTAGACAACAAGGCGGCTTGAACCACGCAAATGTGTATGGCCAACTGCCTGTCTGTGGGCGACAGGTTTATGCCTGTCTGTGCTTCGCGTGGCGGAGAGCTTTGCTGTGGAATGGCGGTGGAGGGCCTGTTTCGGGGAAGAAATTTAGGCAGGAAGTACTCGCTGTAGGTTTCACAGGAGAAGCACATACCGTACCAGTAGTATCTTCAAAGGAGCCACACAAATGTGAAACAGTATCTTCACAAATGGAAAACACAAATGTGAAACCACACTGCCGTGCAGAACTTGCTTGACCTTGGTGCACTAGAGCTTAACTTCTTGTACACTCAAATAATAGCTTTCATGATCTCATACATTAGTGAGAGACTTCATCTCATACCAATCATCTTGTATGTATTTCAGTGCATCATGGAGGGGGGCCACTGTTCCCAAACCTAGAGAGCACAAACTGGTCAAGCTCTCTCTGCCGCCCGTCGAATGACGACGTTGGTGGGTTACCAGGTAACGACCGCATGCACTGTAGAATGAGATCCACATCCCGGTACATTCTGTACAGTTCAACGAAGAAACGGAAATGGGAGGCATATAAACAGATGGTTAGCACAGGGACTGTAGTACAGTAGTTTTGCACACCACATGTGATGACAGCAGGAGAGCTACATAAACACCAGGAGCAAAGTGAGCATTTGACAGGAAAGGCAATACATGGAGACCAACAGAACCAACAAGGCATAAAAAAGGTCCCTCCCCTCGCCACCAGCATTTGGACCGCGAATAAGGCACGAGTCAACTTCCAAGCTGCTTCAAGAATGTCTTTCCAGGAAGAGCCCACCCCACACAGAATGAGCAACGCATCAAACAACCTTCTTCGCCCCCACCCTCCCCCCTGGCCCCGTTTACCTCCCATACACCCCCGGTCTGACCTGCGCTTGGCCTGCGGCGTGGGCGTGTCGATCTTGGCAAAGGAGTCAGCGAGCTGCACGTGGAACAGCGCCACCACCCGCCTGCCGTGTTGTGCCCCCCCCCCCCCCCACGCACACACGTGCACACACACATACACGGGGAGTGTGTGATTGGGGATTTGCAGCAACAGACAAATAGAAGTGACTGGAAACGAGGACAGGATATGAGGATCGAAGCAACCGTAGAGTGATGAGCACCTATGGCTATACTACGCAACACTACGGTATGCTACGGCATGCTACGGTATGGTATGGTATCCTGCGCTACGCTATGGTACAGTGCGGTACGCACGAGAAGATGGAGCGAAGGTCGGCTTCGAGAAGCAAAGGGGAGAGGATGCGATGCAGCACCCCCACCTCCTGGTGTGTGGGCGGGGGGATGTGGGGCGGATGGGAGGGAGGGCTTGAGAGGGCGGTGGCGAGTGCGTGGGTTGAGAGGGCAGTGGGGTTGAGAGGGCAGTGGGGTTGAGAGGGCAGTGGGGTTGAGAGGGCAGTGGGGTTGAGAGGGCAGTGGGGTTGAGAGGGCAGTGGGGTTGAGAGGGCAGTGGGGTTGAGAGGGCAGTGGGGTTGAGAGGGCAGTGGGGTTGAGAGGGCAGTGGGGTTGAGAGGGCAGTGGGGTTGAGAGGGCAGTGGGGTTGAGAGGGCAGTGGGGTTGAGAGGGCAGTGGGGTTGAGAGGGCAGTGGGGTTGAGAGGGCAGTGGGGTTGAGAGGGCAGTGGGGTTGAGAGGGCAGTGGGGTTGAGAGGGCAGTGGGGTTGAGAGGGCAGTGGGGTTGAGAGGGCAGTGGGGTTGAGAGGGCAGTGGGGTTGAGAGGGCAGTGGGGTTGAGAGGGCAGTGGGGTTGAGAGGGCAGTGGGGTTGAGAGGGCAGTGGGGTTGAGAGGGCAGTGGGGTTGAGTGAGGTAAAAAGGAATTAGAATGTCTGCGTTGACACACAACGACAGGCATGCATCATCAAGAGACACGACATGACCGTGAGAGGCATGAGCGGCATGCCTTGGTGAGAGCAATGAGAGGCGTGAAGGGATGAGAGGCGTGAAGGGATGACAGGCGTGAAGGGATGAGAGGCGCGAAGGGATGAGAGGCGTGAAGGGATGAGAGGCGTGAAGGGATGAGATGCGTGAAGGGATGAGAAGCGTGAAGGGATGAGAGGCGTGAAGGGATGAGAGGCGTGAAGGGATGAGAGGCGTGAAGGGATGAGAGGCGTGAAGGGATGAGAGCCGTGAAGGGATGAGAGGCGTGAAGGGATGAGAGGCGTGAAGGGATGAGAGGCGTGAAGGGATGAGAGGCGTGAAGGGATGAGAGGCGTGAAGGGATGAGAGGCGTGAAGGGATGAGAGGCGTGAAGGGATGAGAGGCGTGAAGGGATGAGAGGCGTGAAGGGATGAGAGGCGTGAAGGGATGAGAGGCGTGAAGGGATGAGCGGCATGCCTTGGTGAGAGCGCGGGCGAAGTTGGAGGGCTGCTGCTCGGCAGGGGAGTCATCTGGGCGGGCGTATGTGTCAGCTACTGCGGGCAGGGAGCGCAGGTGCACCAGCAGGCGCTCCCTCATGATCGCCACCAACTTGCTGTGGATCTCGTCCCTGTGCACCCTGTAGTCCTGGTGGTGGGGTGCGGTGGCGTGCGGTACAGTGAGGTGGGGTGCAGTGAGGTTAGAGTTTAGAGACGCCTCTGACCATTATCGCCACCAGCTTGCTGTGAATCTCGCCTGTGAAAACGATGCTGAAGGACTTGCTAAAACTGATTCTAAAAGTGATGCTGGAATTGCAAACAGGGGGGGCATGCAGCAGCATAGCTGCGGGCATGAAGCATACCTATTGGTGATACTGGTGACATACCTGAGCCACGCGGTCAAGGTGTGATATGACGAGCCCTCGGCGCGCATCGGGGATGAAGGCAGAGAGAATGCGCCGCAGGTCTGGTGGGGCATAGGGATTGGGGGATGGGGGATGGGGACGCATGTGGGATGAGTGCATTGGGGATGAGATGAGGCAAGCGGAACGATGAGGGAGCAATGCGCATGTGAGATGCACATGGGGCCATGTGGGTCACCGGGGATGACTACACTGCACAGTGATCAGGTAGATGCTGTATGCTGTATGCTGTATGCTGTATGCTGCATGTCGCAGGTCACAGGGGATGAGAGCGCAGATGAGGGCGATACATGCCATGCCCCCAATGCATGGTGCTGAAGAGCCAAGGCTCGCTACGCCATGCATTGGTGCTGAGGAGCCAAGGCTCGCTACGCCATGCATTCACGTGCTCCGCTGCACGCGGGCCTTCTAATATCGACAGCTGCAAGCTAATCTCTTGTGAATGTACCAGAAGACTAGCTCACCGGGGATGAGAGCATAGACGAGGGAGATGCATTGGCTGGAGAGTGCGAGGTGCTTGGCTGTGATGGTCTTCAGCCCTGACACCTGCACGCAGGCAGGCAGGCAGGGAGGGAGGGAGGGAAGGAGAGGAGCAACAACGAGCCCGGATTCATTTAGACACATGTGCAAAAAATGTTAGCAGCGGCACATGGCAGACAGCTTAGAGACTTGATGCATTTGCAGCAAGGGCGCTCGTCCTGCAAACAGGCTCACAGGCTCGATCCCACCTTTGGGGATGCGCCAAGAAAGAACAGGCGGCTCAGATCTTGCCAAGAATATAGCCCGCGGCAAGGCCACTGTGCTTCACATCCTCAACCCCAGCTCTGTGGATTTGAACTGGCAAAGGTCTTCCTTCCCTGCATGGCGCCTGAACGGCTTGCAACTCCCCTACTTGCCATGTGTTGCCATGAAACAAACGCCACACCTATCCACATGCCATCAACGCACCCAGAGAGTGGACCAGAGAGTGCTCTGCAAGTACCTCAACGCACATGACTTCATTACCTGCATTGTCAAGCCCTACCTGCTACCGCCTCTGCTTGCTACCTGCATAGCACCGGCCCCCAGCACGAGCTGGCAGGTGCGCGAGTTGAAGAGCTTCAGCAGGTCCGCCAGATGAGTGCTGTGACATGCGATCATCGCACCATACGTACACACCCACGTGCCCAAGCCCCTACCTGCATAGCACCAGCGCCCAGCACGAGCTGGCAGGTGCGCGAGTTGAAGAGCTTCAGCAGGTCAAACAGCGAGTGCTGTGACATGCCATCATCACACCATACATACACACCCACATCGCCAAGTGCTCACCTGCATGGCACCAGCACCCAGCACGAGCTGGCAGGTGCGCGAGTTGAAGAGCTTCAGCAGGTCGGCCAGTCGCTGCACCACCTCCCCTGCCAGTGATGGCAGCGCCTCTGCCACTGCCACGTACTCGCGAGTCACTGACAGCAGCGTGCATGCGCTGATGGGGAAGGGGAGGGAGGGGCACGGAGGGAGAGGAGAGGAGAGGGGGGGTGAGAAGATGGGCAAGGAAGGGCAGCCGGGTGCTGCATCACCTCCCTGAAAGGCAAGAGCAGGTTGGGTCGTCGTGGTACTTGTATGGCAGAACCTCTTAAGTCTCAACAGCAAGGCCTTGCCTGTTGTTGGATGCTCCTATCAGCCCAGAAGCCCTTACCTGCCAGTGACGTGGTAATTCTCCTTCCCATCAGTTCCACTCCCTCACCTGCCAGTGACATGGTACTTGACTCCCCGGCACACAACAGTCTTCACAGCTGCCCTCTTCTGTGCCTTTGGCCCCTCTGCTGCTCCAGTGGCAGGGGACGCAGGGGATGCAGCAGCAGGAGGAGCGGCAGGAGAGGCAGCAGGGGAGGCAGCAGCAGGAGGAGCAGCAGTAGAAGCAGAAGGAGAGGCAGCAAGAGGGGCAGCTGCAGCAGCAGAAGCCGCTTCTGGCTCTACTACTCCCGACGGTGCAGCTGGTGCTGCATGCGCTGCTGCACCTGTCGCTGCCTCTCTCCGCTGTGACCTTTCTGCCTCTCCCTCACCTCCCTCCCTCGATCCCCCTCCATTTTCCACCCCCTCCGCCCCTACCCTCTCAGTCTCCCCTCTTCCTGCTTCTCCTCCTTCCCCTACTCTGGCATTCTCCTGCCCTTGCCCGTCACCCCTATCACCCTCTGTTGCCTGTTCTAGCTGTCCTGACCCTTGTGCCCCATCTTCCCTCACCCCACCTCCAGCCTGTGCTAAAGCGCCACCTGTCACTGGACCATTGGCTGCTGCTGTGTCACGCACAGCCTCATCTGCAGCCCTGTACCCATCCACAGCAGTCCCAGCAGCATCAGAAGCAGCAGTCATATCAACCGCAGCAGCAGCAGCAGCAGCAGCAGCAGCAGCAGCAGCAGCAGCAGCAGCAGCAGCAGCAGTGGCAGCAGCAGTAGCAGCAGCAGTAGCAGCAGCAGCAGCGGCTGCCTCATCAGCAGCAGCAGTAGCAGCATCAGAGGCAGCAGCAGCGGCATCAGCAGCAGCTGTGGCAGCGGCAGCATCAGAAGCAGCAACAGCAACAGCAGCAGCGGCCGCAGCAGCGGCCTCGGCGGAAGGATCCAGGAAGGTGCAGAAGAAGTCAACAAGTGCCTGAGTCTCAGGAGTGGCATCCACAGCCGTCCAAGTCTCCTTGTTGAGGAGGGAGAGGATGAGCGCCATCTGGTGGGGTGAGGGAAGAGCAGGGAGAGGGGAGCACACGAAACCAGCCTCAGGAGTGGCATCCACAGCCGTCCATGTCTCGTTGAGGAGCGAGAGGATGAGCGCCACCTGATGGGGTGAGGGAAGAGCAGGGAGAGGGGAGCACACGAAACCAGCCTCAGGAGTGGCATCCACAGCCGTCCATGTCTCCTTGTTGAGGAGCGAGAGGATGAGCGCCATCTGATGGGGTGAGGTGAGAGGGGAGAGGGGGAGAGGGGAGAGGGGAGAGGGGAGAGGGGAGAGGGGAGAGGGGAGTGGAGAGGGGCCAACAGCCTGAGGAGTGGCATGGGCAGCCGTCCATGTCTCCTTGTTGAGCAGGGCGAGGATGAGCGCCATCTGGTGGGGTGAGGTGAGAGGGTAACAGGGAGAGGGGAGCAGATAGCGGGACCCCAGGAACCCAACAGTGTGAAGTGAATGCATCTACAGCCGGCCAGAGGATGAGTGCCATTTGGTGGGGTGACATGGGGAGAGGATGAAGAGGGCGGGGAGAGGGGAGGGCATGCTGTCACCCATCTCCTCTTGCTCTATCATTGTCCCTCACCCGTCTCACATTGCCCCTCACTCGTCTCACACTGCCTATTACCATTCCACCTCACCTCCCTCCACTGCTGCATCTCACCTCCCTCCACTGCTATCTCCTTGTTCTGTTTCCCCTCACCTCCCTCGAGTGGTGTGTCTCAACAAACGCCTTGGCCTGCGACTGTAGCGCGCCACGTATGCTGTAGCCCAACCTGCCGCCCACCTGTGGCACAGAGGAAAGGAGGAGGAGGGGAGGAATGAGAGGGATACAGCACGCGGAGTGCTGACCCCCGTATGCTGTAGCCCAGCCTACCGCCCACCTGTGGCACAGAGGAAAGGAGGAGGAGGGGAGGAATGAGAGGGATACAGCACGCGGAGTGCTGACCCCCGTATGCTGTAGCCCAGCCTACTGCCCACCTGTAGCACAGAGAGGATCAAAGTGGGAGAGGTAGTGAACGGCAGGGAAAGGCAAGGAGGGAGGCATGAGGGGGTAACGCACCAGGCAGGTTCACAGTCCAGCAACAGCAGCTGTGAGTTCCCACCCATAACAGCACTTGAGCCTGATTCATGGTACACCCAGCAGCTTTGGGTGCACCTGTGCTCACACGCCCGGCAGCAGCTACAGAAGCTATGTCCCCCAACACACACAGCAGCAGCTGTGACTGATACACCCAGCAGCATATTACCCGTTCAGTGGACGCAATGAAGTCCGAAGTCACGGCATACATGTCCACGAAGTCCCCCAGAGACAGCTTCGGATGCACCTGCGCTCGCACTCCCAGCAGCTTCGCCCACCGCCCATGCGCCACCTCACACGCATCGTTTACTGCCTCCGCATTCTCCCTCAACACGTCGGCTCTGAGGGGGAGGAAGAGGGGGGTGGTGGGCATAGTAAGGACGCAAGGTAACTGGGAGGGGAGAAAACGATCCACTGAGCACGCGTGGCAGGTGGGAGGTCAGGTGGGAACACAGGTGAAAGAGCTCAGGTGGGAGCACAGGTAACAGCACTCAGGTGGGAAGAGCTCAGGTGGGAGCAGAGGTGACAGCGCTCAGGTGGGAGCAGAGGTGACAGCGCTCAGGTGGGAGCAGAGGTGACAGCGCTCAGGTGGGAGCAGAGGTGACAGCGCTCAGGTGGGAGCAGAGGTGACAGCGCTCAGGTGGGAGCAGAGGTGACAGCGCTCAGGTGGGAGCAGAGGTGACAGCACTCAGGTGGGTGGGAGCACAACGTACCTGAGCTGCTTTGATGTGGCTAAAGCAGCAACACTGCTCACATCGCCCCCTGCTGCCTCGCCACTGCCTGCTGCGCCCCCAACGCCTCCTATCGCCCCTCCCCCTCCCAAGCCTTTCCCCACCCCTTTCCTCCCCAACAGCTTCGACTCAGCAGCCTCGGCAGCCACCACTCGCTCTGCCCCCGAAGCAAACGCCGCAGCCACGGCAGCAGCCTCGTACCCCTCCGAGCCTGCGAGGGCCGCAGGCTCGGCGGCGCCAGCTGCAGCACCGGCAGCAGCTCCAGCGGTGGCGATGCTGGACACTACGTTCCGAACGGCTGCCGCCCGCACGAGGCGGGTCTGGACGGCAGAGAAGACGGCGAGCAGCAAGTGGACGAAGGCGGGCGGGGCGAGGGCACGGAGCTTGAGGGCGAGTGATGGCGCTGGGTGGGGGTGGAGGGGGTGGAGGGGCGCGGAAAGAGGGGACGGGGGGTTCAGTTGGGTAAGGCGGGTGGAAGGATGGTGAGGGTTGATTGGATGTGTTACGTGGTAGATGGTTGGGGGAAGGCTACACGGGTAGAAGAAAGAGGGTGTGAGACCTCATTCGCATGAAAAGGAAACACAAATAATCAGCAGCCAGCTGATCTAACTTCCCCTCCCCTGCGACAACTGTAAGAAAACGACTCCAAACCAATTGCTCCCTCACCGCAGCAGCCTCGCACCCCGTGTCTCACCATTCAGCACATCCGCTGCAGGCTCGTCCCCCTCCCCTCGTTATTGACAATTCAAAGAAAATATTCCAAATCAGCCCCTCCCCCTCATTCCATCCCCCACAGCCCACGTGTCTCACCGTTGAGTGCATCAGCAGCAGCCTCGCCCCCCTCTCCTCCTGCACCACCCGCCGCGCCGCCAGCAGCAGCAGCGGCGGTGTGTTGCAGGAAGAGCAGCGGCAGCAGCTCGCCCACCACCGTCTTCACTGCCGCCTTGATGTCCGCATTCACTGCATCTCGATAAGCCCTCAGCACTGCTGGCAGGCGCGACTGGTGGGGGATGAAAGGGTGGGGGACGGATGGGGGTCAGGGGGAAGAGCAGCGGCAGCAGCTCGCCCACCACTGCCTTCACTGCTGCCTTGATGTCCGCATTCATGGCGTCTCGGTATGCGCGCAGCACTGCTGGCAGGCGCGACTGGTGGGGTTGGAGGGGGACAGGGGAGTGGGCAGGGGACAGAGGGGAGTGCGAAGAGATGAAGGAGCTTCACTGCTGCCTTGATGTCCACGTTCACTGCATCTCGGTACGCGCGCAGCACTGCTGGCAGGCGCGACTGGTGGGGGGAAGATGAAAGGGTGGGAGACGGTGGGTAAAGGGTCAAAGGGAACAAGGCGATGGAAAACGACCCAGGCGCCCTAAAGCTTCTTCTCGCTGCATCTCAGCACACCCCAAACCTTACACCTACCCCACCCCAAACCTTACACCTACCCCTTCTCCCCTGAACCCTCACTGTGCACAGCAGGCCGATGGCGAGTGGCAGCAGATACTCTCAGAGTCAAGCCTCCCTCTCGCTCATCCGTTCACCTGCATGCCTGGTTCTCATGAGAGCCACTGCCCGAACCCCTAACCCCGAAACCCTAATTCATACCAACCCCTGACCCCTGCCCCCTTACTGTGCGCAGCAGGCTGATAACGAGCGGCAGCAGATGCTCCCTCAGGCGAGCCTCCCTCTCCTCCATGCCCTCGCGCTGCTTGTGCCCGGCATGGGCAGAGCATGGATGTTGCATAGACGGGGCATGGATGGGGCATGGATGGGGCATGGATGTTGCATGGATGGGGCATGGATGTTGCATGGATGTTGCATGGATGTTGCATGGATGTTGCATGGATGTTGCATGGATGAGGCATGGATGGGGCATGGATGGCATGGACGGGGGCATGGGTGGGGCATGGACGGGGCATAATAGGGGCACGCAACAGGTTGGGATCCATGCATGCACCAGGCATGCACGTGGCGGGGCGAGGCATGCAGCAGGCATGCATGGGCGAAGACAAGGTACGGACGGAGCAGACACAAAAACACGGGGTGAGAAATAGGGAAAGATGCAAGACTGAGACAGCCAGGAGCCATGGCAGGGCGCACAGGAGGATGAGGAACAAGAAGCAATCACAGACCTGTGCGGCCAGCTACTGACTGAGACGTCTCAGAACTCACAACTACCACGATACAACCAGGGGCAGGCCCGGGCGACTGGATCTGATGCTCTGAAGCGCGCCATGCCAGTACAGTGCTGATTCTTGTGCGACAGCGATCACGCTTTGCATCTATAGGCATGCATTTTCTGCACACGCACTTCGAGGTTGACTATAGAGAGCAGCGTTTCAGCGGGCGGCACACTCTTCTGGAGGTTGAAGCTGGTGACTATAGCGGAGGGCGCCACGTCAGCAGCATCGTGCACAGCTTCCCTCACAAAGTCGGCTGTTAGGAGACTGGGAGAATGGACGGAATAGGTTGGGTTGGAGAGTACATGGGATGGATGTTAGAGGCATGCCACTTGGGAGTGATAGTGGATGGATGGGCGAGTGGAAGGAGGAACAAGGCGAAGAAGGAGAAAGAGTGGCAGGAGGATAGAGAGGCAGGCCTTGTCACTCGACGGCATTGGAGGAGGAGAGGAGGAGGTGGTCGAGGTGGCGGAAGCAGTGCAGAGAGGGAGGCGAGAGTGGTTGGGAGAGAGAGAGCCTCACCTGTTGACGGCATCGGAGGAGGACACTAGGAGGTGGTTGAGGTGGTGGAAGCAGTGCAGCCCTGCGAGCTCCTGGCCGTCCATGAGGCGCCTCAAGTCGTCCATCACGTCCAATGCGCCCGCACAGTCGCCCGATGACACCAGCTGATGCCATGGCCACGCACAGTGGGGTGGTGGGTTGTGGGGCAGCAATGGAGGTTTAGAGGTCAGGAAACAAGCAGCACACGGCAGCAGCACAAGGCAGCACCACGAGCCAGCATCACGAGCGCCCAGTGAGATCAGTGCCGTCCATGAGGCGTCTGAGGCTGTCCATCACACCCAACGCGCCCATGAGGTCGCTCCATGACACCAGCTCATGGGATGGCATGGCTTCTTATCGCATTGCTCCTTACCAGCTTCAGCGTCGCCATGGCCTGGTGCATCAACGCCACGAGCTACAGTCCTGCAAGACGGCTCGGAACCTACTTCTCTTCTCTAAGCCATCTTGCAATTGCCTTACCAGCTTCAATGTCGCCATGGCCTGGTGCACGAACGCCACTAGCTTCAGCTTCTGATGCAGCTGCAGCAAATTCTCCCGCCGAACCTTGGTCGCCTGCAGCTTCCGCGATCCTTCCAGCAGATCCTCATCCAGCATGCCCACCGTGCCGCGCAACTGACGGATGCGATCGCACGTCTCCACGATCCCACGGTTCAGATCTTCCAGCTTTTCTAGGGCCTCGAAGAATGAGTCCGACCGGGAAGAGATTTCTTTAACTAAGTGCACCTCGACTAGGTCTAAGTAATGCGATAGTTTTTCCTGTAGAAGCATATTCGCGGCAATGGAGGGAGACGGGCAGACCGTATCAAAAACCTCCTTTCGCTCAAGGGCAAAATGCTCGTCGAAATACACCGGGGGTATTTCCCTGAGACACGCTGCTAGACCCTGACCTTCTGACCGTGATGCTAAAACACCCTTCCCTTTCCGTTCCTCTCTCCCCTCGCTGTCCACGTCAGCACCTGGCGCTTCCCCAGTTGCCAACTCCCACGTGGAATGCTCCTGCACGTCAACGAATCGCCCATACGGCTCCCTCATTCGCTGCAAATACGGCTGAAATTCCGACATGGGAAAATCTTGAATTTCTGGCGGCAAAGGCGGAGGACCCTCTAAAGCCGGCTCCACCGGTCGCTGCGCGGTAATCCAGGTCCACGCGTTCTCGGTTCCGTAAATTCCGGCCTTTCCGAGGCGCGGGTCGTTAAGAACCGACGCGAGGCTCTGGCCGGACGAGTACGCGAGCGCCTCCATCTCCTTGTGGCTGCGCGGCGTCGACGCGGCGCTCGAGCCATTCGCGGATTCCTGCACGTTCCCCGCGCTCCGCGAAACGCGGAGGCCCGATTCAGGCGCGGTGGGGAGCGATAACTGCGCAGGATGCGCGGCAGCAGACGTGTCCATGGCGATTGAAACGCGGATGATACTGCTTAGGTTACGAGGAGTCACTTCTGACAGAGCCCATTACTCAGACGGGTCGTCGATCGATCCTGCGAAAATGAGTGGCAGATTCCCTTACGTGCCCGAAACGCTGAACGCAAATCTAGAATACTGACAACGGCTCTTTGAAACGTGTCTGAATTCCGCCATTCGTTTTGCTGGCTGCGATTTCAAGGTACGAAAAATATTGACGTGACTGGAGGGGAAGGAGAATCCTAGTTGACGGTCGCCGTTTGAACAGCCGGACCCAAACGGACCTTGACGGCTAAGCTGTGAAATTTGTCAGAGCCCAGTTTTCGCGCCTTTCGCTTGTCGTCAGTCCCGATAGACTACTCGGAAAATTGAAATGAATACACCAGCGGGTCTCAATCACCCACATGTTGAATATATTAAACCATAATGTGCTTTACAAAATGAACTTCTCAATTGCTTCCGCAATACCATCTTCGTCATTGCTTGCAACTGTGGCCTTCGCAACAGCCTTGGTCTTCTCAGAACCGTTCGCCATCGCCACTCCCCAACCCACCATCTCAATCATTTCAAGGTCGTTCTCCCCATCTCCAATCGCCATAACCTACCACGAATCAAAAGAGCACGATTGTGGATTGACATGAAAAGATTGACCACAAACAACATAGATAAGAGGGCCTGAGTGTATGTGTCTTCACGTGGATGTGTGCACGTGCTTTTTTCTGTGTGTGGGTGTGAATGTTTTGCCGATAACAATTAGAAGCGGTAGAAAAAAAAATGTGCAGTTAATTGATTCACCGTATGAATTACGGGAAAACTGACCTCCTCAGCGGAGAACTCGAGATGGTCCAGCAGCACTCGCACTCCTGCGCCTTTGGATTGGCCAGGGGGCAGGATCTCCAGCATGTCCGGCACGGCCTGGGTCACTGTAGCACGGCCGGCTGTAGCGGCCGACCAGAAGGGACGAATAAAGCCGTCAATGCCGTGCGGCGTGTCGTAGAACAGTAATTTCTGCTTGACGGGCAGGCAATGCGGGAAGAGGAGCAGCTAAGCACGAGAGAGCAGTAGAGAGAAGGGGACAAGAACTGATGCAGACGGGGCTTCACTTCACAGAGGATGATGAAGAGCTGCGAGGCTCACCTCGTTACAGTGTCATACTGTCATGCGGCATGGGTGTGTGGCTCACCTGGATGGGAGTCTCGTTCATGATGTGGTGCACACTCGGCATCACCTCCGCCTGGCACACACATGAACGCACAACCAAACAGGACCACATAAGGAACATCGACATAACGCACAAAAATCACCTGAAATGTCATGGGAATCAGATGGTGTGTCATGGTAAGGACACTGCATTCGCTACACCATACTCATTGCTACTACTAAATGGAGTGCGCCGCCTGCATCAGTGGAGAACATGCTTTCAGCAGCAGCAGCAGCAGGGGGGGGGGGGGGGGACATACCCGTGGCTCGTAGTAGATGGTGTGCAGCGCCTCCACCAATGGGTGATCGACAAGTGTCACGCAGCGGTCCCCACAGAAGCCAATCAGCGCCTTGCCATGCTTCAGGGCGAACTCAAAACCCTGCGGGGCGGAGGGAGGCAAACGTGGAGCAATGAGCTTCAAGTCGAACTCCTGTGGGTCCCATTGCCTTGCCGAGCTTCAGCGCAAACTCAAAGCCCTGCGGGGCGGAGGGAGGCAAACGTGGAGCAATGAGCTTCAAGTCGAACTCCTGTCGGGTCCCATTCACGAACGAGGTGTTATCGCGCGTCACATTGGCCTGCAGGAATGCCCGTGCCGCTGAGCGTGGTGGGTGGGCCATTGGGGGTGGGCAGGCCTGAGGGCAGCACCTCACAACTGATGTCTATTTTCATGAATTCTCACCTGGAAAATGGTACGGTCGCCAACGGGGAGGAGTGAGAGAGGATACAGGGGATGGATGGGAGGGAGCGAGCAAGAGGGCGATGCAGGAACAGACAGTGGTTAGATTCGGGAGATGGAGGAGTGAACATGGAGAGTGTAGTACGGGATTGAGGAAGTAGCAAGAGGAGAACGGCAACGAGAGGAAAGGAGTTGCCTGGCAGTGGAGGAGGATAAAAAGTCGACCATACCTCCCTTACCGCACACACTTCGACACACTCACCAACACATATGTGCACGTATGGAGGGTGAAAGGCACTGACCTCCTGCGTGACCTCGTTGGGCAGCAGCGCGTTGTGCACCACCAGCCCTCCCTTGCCGTACACCCTCAGACCCTGGGGGGCGGGGGGAGGAGAGAACCACAGGGGCATGAGGGGGCAAAGTGAGAATACAAGGATGAAAGCAGCAAGGTGCGAAGATGAGGGTGGCAGGGAGATGCAGCTGCATCCCTTGCCACACACGCTCAGCCCCAGAGAGAGAGAGAGAGAGAGAGAGAGAGAGAAAGTCAAACGCACGCAAGCATGTGCGCACACTTAGAGAATGACCCAGCAGCACCAGCCAGCCCAGCAGCGCCCGGAGCAGACATGGCAGCTGGCGTCGCCTTGCCCGTGGCTATGGCGATCTCAGTAGCAACTTATGCATGTTACATACCTGCAGGAACACTCCCGGGGACTTGTCGCTGAATATCCCAGCAGACCCCACCAGCCCAGCAGCGCCCAGGGCAGACATGGCGGCAGGCCTCGCCTTGCCCGTGGCGATGGCCACTCGCACGCCCCTCGCGTGCGCTGCTCGCAGCGCCTCCGCTGTAGAGGGAGAGATCTTGCTGGCGCTGTTGAGCAGCGTGCCTGGAGGCACCGTAGGAGAAGGAGAAGAAGGAATATGGGAGAATGCACAGCAGAAGCGTGGAACAAAGCACGAACCTCACGTGTGCTGCCCTCCGGGCCTTCGCTGTGGAGGGGGGAAACTTGCTGGCGCTGTTTAGCAGCGTGCCCCAGCATGGGAGGAAGAGAGACATTGGTAAATGCAGAACACAAGTGAGGTACAATGCACGCCCTTGGCATGCGCTGCTCGCAGGGCCTCCGCTGTTGAGGGGGCGATCTTGCTGGCGCTGTTGAGGAGTGTGCCTGGGGGACATGCGAGAAGGAATATGGGAGAATGTAGCACAGAAGCAAGAGAAGGAGCAGAAGGAGCACAAGGAGAAGAAGCAGCAGGAAGAGCAGCAGCAGCAGCAGAAGTGTCAACAAGAGCCGGGTGTCTTGTGCTTGCAGTGCTTCTTCTGTCAATTGAGAGACCATGCTTCCTCGCACATACCGTCCACACCACTCATACCGTCCACACCACTCATACCACCCACACCACTCATACCATCCGCACCACTCATACCACCCCTGCTACCATCCACACTGCACGTACCATCCATATCGCACAAGAGTAGCTGGAAAGGGGGTTTCTTGGTCCGCCTCTTATCTCCCTTCTCCTTCTCCTTCTCCTTCTCTTTGCCCTTCTTATGCTCTCTCTCCTTCTCCGCCCCCACATCAAGCACCTTCTCAGCCTTCTTCCCCTTCTCCTTCCCCTTCCCCTCCTTCCCCTTCCCGTGCTTGCCCTTGTGTTTCCCCTTGTGCAATCCCGAACCTCCTTCCTCAAGCGCCGCTTCTTCTCCCTGCCCCGTTACTGTCACAAATCTTGTCCACCCTGCCATGAACAAGCACACAGAGACCAAGAGAAAAAGCATATTAGCAATTTCAAGGCATTTGAACAACTGGCGCACATCAACTCCCTTGCCTTCCTTTCCTCCTCGTGTGTCCATTCCTCTCCATTACTCTCCTCTACATTCCTCTTCTCTCCTCTCCATTCACCTCCACCCGTTTCCACCCCTCGCCACCCCTTGCACCCATCTCCACTCCTTCCACACCTTGCAACTGTCAACCCACCCCCACACACCTTGCACCATGCCAATCCTTGTCATCCTGCCCTTCACACCACCCTTCTCACCCTCCTCCCCTCCTGCCTCCCCTCTCCCCTCCTCTCCTCCCTCCCTTCCTGCCTCCCCTCTTCCCTCCTTCCCCTCTGCCGCCCCTCCCCCCTCTTCCCCAATCGCAGCTGCCACCAATCCCGTTCCCCGCCACGCAAAGGCCTCCAAAATCCGCAGCTCCTCTGTTGCCATCTGTTCCGCTGACTCACGCACCGCCGCCGCCAGCTCAGCTTCTGATATCGCTGAGTCAGCAGCGCTCCCCTTGGGCGCCTCGTGGTCGTATCCCAGCAGATGCAGCATGCCATGCACCTGTGGTGGGGGGGAGGTGGGGAGGAAATGGAAGAGGGGGGAGGGGGGGGGAAGGGGGAGAGGGGAGGGGGGAGGGGAGGGGGGAGGGGAGGGGCGAGAGCGGGGGGGAGGGAGGAGGGTGCGTGGGGGGGGGGGGAGGAAATGACGGATGATCAGGAGGCCCACGGAATAAAGGGATGCGCGGACCCAGGGGCGGGGCAGGTAAGGATTATAAAACTGTCCAAGTCTGCTCAGAAGTTACTGCTATTCGACCAGCAGATGCAGCCTGCATGCCATGCACCTATGCCGTGCAGAGTTTGGAAGGACGGATGGTTTTAGAAGAGAGTGAGGAGAGAGTGAGGCGAGGGAGAGGGGGGGAAGTCAGAAGGCGCAGCAGCTATCATACCCCATCCCAACCCAGCAGGTGCAGTGCAGCATGCTACCAGCATGTTACAACGAGCATCTTACCATGAGAATGCGAAGCTCGTCCAAGAGCGAATGCCCTCTCTCATTGGCTTGCCGCTGTGCCGTCTCCACCGATATAATCACATCGCCTAGAAGCAACTGCAGCACAGACGTTGGTACAATGGGCCAAAGCAGGAAGGGGGAAAAGAAGCGAAGAATGGTAGCATGTCTTGTGCATTCTTATCACACACTTGGTGAGAACAGAACAAGAACATGGCGTGAGGAACAAGGCTAAAGGCAGCGGAGTGAGAGGGTAAGGCAGACACAAGAAGCAAACGCTAGAGCAACTAAGCAGCTGAATTGCAGCAGATGTTGCAGGGTGGACAGAAAGCATAGGTAACCTAAAGCAAAGCAAATAAAAGTACACCGAGTGGGAGGTATACTGATGGTTTTCCCTACCAGAGGGGAGAGCCCCGCAGGCTGGTCTTGGGGGAAAGACAGGACGTCCGTGGGCGCATCTACACCTCGCCACTCTCTATTGAGCTCCCTGATATAAGCGTCCGTGCACAGAAGCACCGACATCTCCGCAGCTGCCACCCCGGAACCGCTCTGCACCTCCTCAAACTCCTCCATGGCCAGCGCCAGCGCGGATGCCGCATCCAGGCGCAGCTCCTCCGCCAAGGCCTGGCGCAGGGGGGAAAGAAGAGGAGGGCGCCGGGGAAGGGGCACGGGGAGGCAGGGGAGGGGGGAAGAATGGGGAATTCGGGGGTTGTTGTGGGGATGAGGAAACAGGGAGCGTAAAGCGAGGGAGTTGAGGTGCAAGGACGGATTGGGCAATCAGGGCAGGGCAGGGGCCTGTTGACACGAGGGACAGGAAGCAGAGTCAGGTCGCAGAGGGAGCAGGCTTGTGCGAATGATGCTCCTCCGTATGGCTACAGGTAAAGGCGATATCCTTTTAAGACTATAGCTGGATCCCAGTATGTACTTGCCTCCTACGCGAATCCTCCAGTACGGGTCCTCGCACAAGGGTCCTCATACGAAGGTCGAATTTTCCTCCTCACCTTCCATTTCTCCGTCTGCCCGCGCGCCGCCAACTCCGCCGCCAGTCCCTCGTCGATAATCACCGCCGCCATAAAGTCCACGTCACTCGCGCCTCCTGCGCCGTCACTCGCGCCTCCTGCGCCGCCGCTTCCGCCACCGGTCCCCTCGCCGCGCAATTCCTTCCCCGCATCGTCCCCGCCTCCTCCGCTGCTCCCCCGCCCAGAACTATCTTCCCCTTTGCCATCGCTGTCCCTTCCCCCCGTCGCGGCATCGTTTTTCGACGCAAACGCCCTAACGAGGTCACCTCGACCTGCTCTTAACGCGTACCCAGCCGCAGCCGGTGACGGAATCAAATTGCCACTAAGGCTCCGTAGACTGGTTGGAACATCTACGCGTCGCGAGGACAGGTAAGCGCCGTTGCTGCCTCCTAAGGCATGTACAACGGGGACAACTGACGATTTTTTGCCCGAAAAGGGCACCGGCAGTCGGCTAGTAGCGAGGACGGAAGCGGGACCGTCTCGCAAGAACGGCGCGCAATGGGCCGCTGCTATAGGCCGAGCGGACCGGACCGCCCGCAGGATGCCACCGAGGCGGTGCATGGGCGACTGTGCGACGGCTTGCGACGACGGCAGCACGGCGGAATTCATTTGAAACGCCGCCAGCGAGCAAGCACGAGCACGCTACTCCTGCTGCTAGAGCCCCGCACAGAATGGTGTCAGAAAGGGAAACTCCCTCGCCAGAAAGTTTTCGGCATTTCCCTTGAAAATGTCCAGATCACCACCACCACGCTCGCTTTTATTCTCGGGAATTTCCCGCCAGAGAATTGAAGCATTCACAGCCACAGGTGTTGTCCTCCACAATGACGTGGGTACGACACCCAAAAGCCAGTCTTTTACTGTACCAACACCCTCGTTTACAGTGCCGTCTTATAACCGACTTAGTCTACATCCACCAAGAATTTATTAATCACTACAAGCTCTACCCAGGTCAAACACATCCTATTAGTAATTGGGCCCTCAAGGGCTCTAAAAAGAACCTTGAAGCATCAACATAGAAAAAATATCAACACATAGGCTTTACTCGAGGGCAATGTACACCCACAAGTGCAACTCAGATCACCCTTCATTGTTGGCTTCGCTGCTTTCCTTCGCCTCTTCATGAGCAATTACCTCGCCGCCCCCACTCAATTCGCCCAGTGTCGCATCTGCCAGTCGTTTTCCACCCCCTTCCTCTTTAGTCTCCGTGCCTGTGCCGGCAGACTCGGTGGCCGTGGAAGGTACGGGATAGTCGTGCCGAGCCTTGCGGTCGCGCCAGAGGTCAACCATGTGCTCGATGGCAATGTCGACGGCATCGCGCACATTGGAGAGGACGTGTGAGGGATCCACATAGATGAGCGATGGGATCATGTGGATCACCTGGGGGTCGGAGGGACGGTAAAAGGGGAAGGGGGAATATTTCCAGATACCTCGACCATGTGGTCGATGGCAATACCAATGGCATCGCGCACATTGGATAGGACATGTGAGGGATCCACCTAGATGAGGGATGGGATCATGTGGATCACCTGGGGTTGTGGAGATGGAAAGGGGGGGTGGGGGAGGGCAAGATGGGGGAAAGGCATGTTGGGTGTGCGAGGGGTTTACATCAATGAGGGATGGGATCATGTGGATCACCTGGGGTTGTGGAGATGGTGAAAACGGGAATGGGGATGTTTTGAGATGCCTCAAAGGGCCATGTGGTCAATGGCAATGTTGACGGAATTGCGCACGTTGGAGAGGACGTGTGAGGGATCCACGTAGATGAGCGATGGGATCATGTGGATCAGAGCAGCCTCACCTGCAGCTGCAGCGCACGGTAGCGGGCGGGGGCGACCTTGGAGAGGCGGTGCTCCACTGTGGTCCACTCAGGCACGTCAATGTATGGCAGGTAGACTGAGAAAGAGTCTGGGTTGGCTGGTGGGTGGGGAGAGTGTGAGGGGGAATGGCAGGGCATGGGGAGCAGCATGTGGAAATAAACGAGGCAGGGGTGGCTGGTGTCATAGTGGGGGGCAGGAAGGGGAGATATGATTGGGATGAGACATACGATTATGTGAGACACGACAAGTCATTTCATGCAATGGGAAGTGTGATTATGTCAGATGGGACATGTGGGTGCAGGAGGGCACAGAGGGGAAGTGCAGAAGTGCATAGAAGCACGTACAGGGGAAGTGGTGCTGATAGAGGGGCGTACAGGGGAAGTGGTGCTGGTAGAGGGGCGTACAGGGGAAGTGGTGCTGGTAGAGGGGCGTACAGGGGAAGTGGTGCTGGTAGAGGGGCGTACAGGGGAAGTGGTGCTGGTAGAGGGGCGTACAGGGGAAGTGGTGCTGGTAGAGGGGCGTACAGGGGAAGTGGTGCTGGTAGAGGGGCGTACAGGGGAATTGGTGCTGGTAGAGGGGCGTACAGGGGAAGTGGTGCTGGTAGAGGGGCGTACAGGGGAAGTGGTGCTGGTAGAGGGGCGTACAGGGGAATTGGTGCTGGTAGAGGGGCGTACAGGGGAATTGGTGCTGGTAGAGGGGCGTACAGGGGAAGTGGTGCTGGTAGAGGGGCGTACAGGGGAAGTGGTGCTGGTAGAGGGGCGTACAGAGGAAGTGGTGCTGGTAGAGGGGCGTACAGGGGAAGTGGTGCTGGTAGAGGGGCGTACAGGGGAAGTGGTGCTGGTAGAGGGGCGTACAGGGGAAGTGGTGCTGGTAGAGGGGCGTACAGGGGAAGTGGTGCTGGTAGAGGGGCGTACAGGGGAAGTGGTGCTGGTAGAGGGGCGTACAGGGGAAGTGGTGCTGGTAGAGGGGCGTACAGGGGAAGTGGTGCTGGTAGAGGGGCGTACAGGGGAAGTGGTGCTGGTAGAGGGGCGTACAGGGGAAGTGGTGCTGGTAGAGGGCGTAGGTGCGGTTCCAGAGCATGACGGGCACGGCCCCCGCCACGAGCGAGTCCATGAGGTATCGCAGCCCGAAGTTGCTGCCGTCCTGCACCGCGTACTGCGCCGAGAGATACAGGTCTGGGGGAGGGGGAGGCAGTGACGGGAGGGTGGAGAGAGTGCGAAGATGAGGTACAGACATAACCAGCGTCACAGGTGACAGTGCATGGCGCAGCCTGTAGTTGCTGCCGTCCTGCACCGCGTATTGCGCTGACAGGTACAGGTCTGGGGGAGGGGAGGGGAGAGGGAGGGGGCAAACAGGCAGAGCAAGCAGAACATGCGGAGTGGTGGATAGCAACACGAGTGTATGAGGCGGACGGCAGCTGCCACTGCAGCACCACCGCCTGCCGTGCTGCCTTGCCACTCTCCCTCCTTACCCCCACCCACTCACTCACCCACGACCTCCCATCTCGCCCGCACCTCCCACTCATCCATGCCCGCTCTTTCCCCTCGTTCCCCCATCCCTCCCCTCCCATGCATGCACCCATGACCCGCACTCCCCTTCCACACCCCCGCCCCCCCCCCCAACCTCCTTTCCACGCACTCTCCCATGACTTGCTCTCCCATCCCACCTCCCACGCACCCATCACTTGCTCGTGGCTGCAGTCACCGCGGCTGCAGTTGAGCAGGGCGCACGAGGTGGAGGGCGACTGGCACTGCTGCACCACCGCCGCCCGCGTCTTGGTAGCGGCCTCGGGCTCCTTGCTGTCTGGTGGGATGATGCACGCAAACTGGTACGGGCGCTTCGCACTGCGCACTGTGGCCTGCAGGGGGCGAGGGGGAATGGTGGAGGGGAAGAGGGAATGGCGATGGCTCTTTGCCTCGGGCTCCTTGCTGTCTGGTGGGATGATGCACGCAAACTGGTACGGGCGCTTCGCACTGCGCACTGTGGCCTGCAGGGGGCGAGGGGAAATGGTGGAGGGGAAGAGGGAATGGCGATGGCTCTTTGCCTCGGGCTCCTTGCTGTCTGGTGGGATGATGCACGCAAACTGGTACGGGCGCTTCGCACTGCGCACTGTGGCCTGCAGGGGGCGAGGGGGAATGGTGGAGGGGAAGAGGGAATGGCGATGGCTCTTTGCCTCGGGCTCCTTGCTGTCTGGTGGGATGATGCACGCGAACTGGTACGGGCGCTTCGCACTGCGCACTGTGGCCTGGAGGGGGCGAGGGGGAATGGTGGAGGGGAAGAGGGAATGGCGATGGCTCTTTGCCTCGGGCTCCTTGCTGTCTGGTGGGATGATGCACGCGAACTGGTACGGGCGCTTCGCACTGCGCACTGTGGCCTGCAGGGGGTGAGAGGCAAGTGGGGAGTGATGGAAGGGGGAGGGAGCTTGGAGGGGGGTATAAGAGGGAAGGACAACACAGTGTCTTGGTGGCGGCCTCGGGCTCTTGCCGTCAGGAGGGATGATGCACGCGAACTGGTACGGGCGCTTTGCACTGTGGCCTGCATACGGTGAGGGGCAAGGGCGGAGAATATGAAGGGTGGAGGGAAGGGGAGGCGAGTGGGGGACGGGGTTACACAAGAGGGCAGGACAATATGAAGCCTTGGTGGCGGCCTCGGGCTCCTGGCTGTCAGGGGGGATGATGCACGTAAACTGGCACAGGAGCTTGGCGCTGCGGCACGTGGCGTGGCAGGGGAGAATGATGACAAAGTAGCACCATCACCCACTTTGACTCTCCCTGCCTACCGCCCCTCTTCCCTCACCGCCCCTCTTCCCTCACCGCCCCTCTTCCCTCACCGCCCCTCTTCCCTCACCGCCCCTCTTCCCTCACCGCCCCTCTTCCCTCACCGCCCCTCTTCCCTCACCGCCCCTCTTCCCTCACCGCCCCTCTTCCCTCACCGCCCCTCTTCCCTCACCTCCCTGCTTCCCTCACCTCCCTGCTTCCCTCACCTCCCTGCTTCCCTCACCTCCCTGCTTCCCTCACCTCCCTGCTTCCCTCACCTCCCTGCTTCCCTCACCTCCCTGCTTCCCTCACCTCCCTGCTTCCCTCACCTCCCTGCTTCCCTCACCTCCCTGCTTCCCTCACCTCCCTGCTTCCCTCACCTCCCTGCTTCCCTCACCTCCCTGCTTCCCTCACCTCCCTGCTTCCCTCACCTCCCTGCTTCCCTCACCTCCCTGCTTCCCTCACCTCCCTGCTTCCCTCACCTCCCTGCTTCCCTCACCTCCCTGCTTCCCTCACCTCCCTGCTTCCCTCACCTCCCTGCTTCCCTCACCTCCCTGCTTCCCTCACCTCCCTGCTTCCCTCACCTCCCTGCTTCCCTCACCTCCCTGCTTCCCTCACCTCCCTGCTTCCCTCACCTCCCTGCTTCCCTCACCTCCCTGCTTCCCTCACCTCCCTGCTTCCCTCACCTCCCTGCTTCCCTCACCTCCCTGCTTCCCTCACCTCCCTGCTTCCCTCACCTCCCTGCTTCCCTCACCTCCCTGCTTCCCTCACCTCCCTGCTTCCCTCACCTCCCTGCTTCCCTCACCTCCCTGCTTCCCTCACCTCCCTGCTTCCCTCACCTCCCTGCTTCCCTCACCTCCCTGCTTCCCTCACCTCCCTGCTTCCCTCACCTCCCTGCTTCCCTCACCTCCCTGCTTCCCTCACCTCCCTGCTTCCCTCACCTCCCTGCTTCCCTCACCTCCCTGCTTCCCTCACCTCCCTGCTTCCCTCACCTCCCTGCTTCCCTCACCTCCCTGCTTCCCTCACCTCCCTGCTTCCCTCACCTCCCTGCTTCCCTCACCTCCCTGCTTCCCTCACCTCCCTGCTTCCCTCACCTCCCTGCTTCCCTCACCTCCCTGCTTCCCTCACCTCCCTGCTTCCCTCACCTCCCTGCTTCCCTCACCTCCCTGCTTCCCTCACCTCGCTGCTTCCCTCACCTCCCTGCTCCCTCACCTCCCTGCTTCTCTCACCTGCCAGCGGCGCAGCTGCTTGGTGGAGATGGGGTGGAAGTCCGTGGGGAAGGGCAGCCCGAACGAGTCCTGGTCGTCCCACGCATAGCGCTCCACCTCCAGCTTCATCATCTGGTGGGGGGGATGACAGGGGCAAGGGAGACAAAAGGTTGGCTTCTATTGTGTCCCTTAAAGCCCCGGTTCCACGAATATTGCTCGACTTCCGGCTTCATCATCAGGAGGGGAAGCAGAGAAGTGAAGATCAGAATGAAAGAATGTTTTCTTACACCCATGTCTGGGAGTGGGACATTTTGGGCGCTCTAAGTTGCACCGGCCGAACGCGGCCATCCGGTCCTCCTTATCGCCATCCAGCACGGGGGACAGAGAGCGACGCATTCACCTTGTGAGACATGAGTCACTCTCAGGTCTACTGCCCTCACTCACAGGCATCAACTCGGGCATCTGCTCCAGGCTGGCGCTGTCTAGTCCAGCACGGGGGAGAGCGAGCAGTGCATTTGCCTCGTGAGCGATGGCACTCTCGGGTATGTAGCTCTCACAAGTATGCAAGGCACGACTCAAGGGCATGAACTCGGGCATCTTCTCCAGGGTAGCGCCGTCCAGCATGGGGGAGAGAATGCGATGCACTCATGTTGGGCAGAATACATAACACATGCGCAGACAACGCACAAACAGCTCACATACATGCAATGCACGACTCACGGGCATGAACTCGGGCATCTGCTCGAGGTTAGCGCCTTCCAGCACGGGGGAGAGCGAGCGATACATTCACCTCATGAGGTAAGTAGCACTTGACCCAACGGTGCACTCACGGGCATGAACTCGGGCATCTGCTCGAGGTTAGCGCCGTCCAGCACGGGGGACAGCGAGCGGCGGAAGAGCCACGTGGTGCGCCCCAGCCCAAAGAAGTGGTCCTTGGCGCCGTACCTGGGAGTGGGGGGGGAAAGGAGATATATAGGAAGTGGGAGAGTGGGGTTTAGATGCCCTTTCTTGGTAGAAGGTGACTGGGGAGTCGGAAAAGAGCCACGCCCCAGGGCAAAGAAGTGGTCCTTGGTGCCGTATTGGGAGGAGTGGGGGGTGGGGGGGGGAAGGGGGGGGGGAGAGGAATGCATGCA